CAGTACTTTCCACTGCAATTAATTTTTACTTCTAGAAATCTTTTTCATATTCAGGAAATTATTTCTGACCTTAATGATATGAATACCAGCAAGCAGATTCATCGTGTTCCTTTAAAAACTAAAGAGTCTGAGAAGGAAATTCAGGACTCACCAGCTAGATACAAATGCATCTTAGTGAGTGAGAGACTGACGTCTAGCAATTATAGTTTCAAACGCCAAATTATTATCCACTAGGCCAGTGAGTGGGCCATGGGATTCACCTTTTGTGCAATAGGTACTGATTAATTTTGCTTAGACAGCATTTCCGTGTCTAATATATATCTCAATCAGCACGAAATTGAATTAACTTAAGTCGACAAGGATCCTTTAGGCTTTTACAATCGCTATTTTTTTAAGCTGTAGACATTCTCACATATGTGATCCTTGTAACGGGTAAATTGTTTTTGAAGAACCCTCCTCTGGACAATCAATCTATTCATAATATTTATACTTGTTTGAACGCTTCAACTAATTCCGTGATTATTATCCGTTCTTTTCCTAAACTGCATATCATTATTTCGTCATTTGCATATCACATATTGACTTGTTTCTTATTATTTTTCTTTGTCCGTGTTTCATCTCTAATTTTAATGCTTCTCTTTTTGGTAGTGTATACATCGACAATGTATTGTTTTACGATGTTTTGTATGGGTGAATCAAGGTTCTTTTTATCTTGAACTTTCTGTGGTGGTGTGATACGGACAATGTGTTCCAAAGAAATATTATTCTAACATATTCCCACACTCCAAGGCAGGGATATCCTGGACCAACGTGAAGAACCTAGAAGACCTGGATTTCGCGCGTGGATGATTTCTGTTTGATGTCACACAAAATCGAAGACTTACAAGCGAAAACCGACAAACTGGTCGAAGAAGCAGCCAGAGAAGACAGGACTCCAGGTGAACATAGACAAGACGGAGGTTATGAAAATAACTAACCAACAACAAAAACAGCAGAAACAACATCCAGGGCCAATCACCATCAACAGGAGGGATTTGAAAGAAGGTACTTCATTCACTTATCTAGCCAGGGAGCATTGTATCAACTACAGCAGGAACGGACGACGATGTCAAATCGAGAATCGGGAAGGCGAGAAACACATTCATCAACCTGAAACCAATCTGGAAATCTTCGTCACTCAGTCTGCATCAACAACAAAATGATTCCGATTTTCAATACAAACGTCAAGTCAGTCAGTTCTTCTACACGGATGGATCAGAAACTTGGCGGGTCACAAAGAATATTTCCAACAGGTTGCAGATCTTTATCAACAACAACTGTCTTCGCTCTATACTGAAGATCAGATGGCCGGAAAGAATCACCAACAAGAAACTATGGAAAGAAACAAAACAAGAGTCAATCGCCCAAGAAATATGCAGGAGAAAGTGGAGATGGATTGGACACTCGCTGATGAGGCCTCTGGGTGACATCGCGCGTCAGGCCAGTGCTCGAGTGGAACCCGAAAGGGAAGCGGCGAGTGGGACGTCAGTGCAAGGGTGACATGGAGGAGATCGTGTGAAGAGGAATCGAAACAGTATGGATTAACATGGATGCATGTGTAAAGTACGGCATTAGCAACAGAATACTATATATATATATATATATATATATAAACTTCATACATTATGGTCAAACTTCTGATCCCACTTTGCTGGGAACATTCTACTTGATTCTAGGATACTTCTTATAGCTGAAGTTTAGTTAACTAATTTTATTCTCCAGTACTTGTTTTATGCTTAGAAGTCTACATTGCATGTATAGTTGGCCAACGACACTATTTGAGTTTCTGATGTTATTATTATTATCATCGTTGAATTGAACTAAACACACACAGATTCCAGTCACAAATAATTGTCTTTTTGATGCTGCCTTTGGATTCTCAAGGAGGTTTCGGACAACTATAGAGTAGGAAGCAAGCAATCGGTTCTCTGCGCTTAGACCAAAAACGAGTCAGTTTTCGTCACTAGAATTCTATTCACAGTTATCACATAGATGTCGTAAATCAAGATGTAAAACTCAAACGAATGCAATGCAGATTCAGCTAAAAGTATCAAGAACATCAATAATATTTGAAATATGTTAATATTAGATGGTTGAAGGCAATCGGCAGAAAGCTCCGCTTGACTTAAGTTTCGTCTTTGTTAGCGCTCACCAGTCAGCAAGGCGTATCTGAAATATTAAAGGAGCTCATGTCCCTTCTCAGATACAAATCCGTGTCAGTCTTCATCGACTGAGGTGACTGGTTCATCACGTACGCTGTCTAAGCTCAATCCTCACTTGATTGGCATTATTAGCTCAAGTGAAAGTGGACAGGAGAGAGACTAAGGCTGCCTATATCAGGATAGAAAGGCAAACAGATCAACGTAGAACCTTGCACAGAAGTTCATCAGTTCAGATTGGCACATTTGGCAAATGTGAACAGAGCAAATATGGGAATGATAATACACAGTGGAAAAAATATGAAAGATGGTGAGAACTGCACATGTTGCATCATTATGAATAAATCTTAGTCAGATCATCAGCGTTTTATAATAATTACTTCTGGATATCCTGAGCATGCTGTCGAGGCAACCTATGTCCTTCTATTAGTTTCAGACTGACAGTTGCAGAATTGATGAATTAGTGCCGTGTTCTTGTCCGACTAGCCATAACATCAATTTTCTTAATTTTAACCTGCTTCAATTGATATTACTTACTAATTGGTGGGAGGCTCTGATTCCTCAAACATTATCTATCTTCCAAGTATCTTATCCACTAAAGAATCCTCACCCTAATCTGTGTTTCTCACTTAACACTATGCATCTAATCTGAAGACTGCCAGCCATGTGTTTCCGATTCTCATACTCCATAAAACAAAGAAAACTAACAAACTAGCTAATATATCGGTCGGTCGGTCGGTCGGTTTTCGACATATAACTTTGCACATATGTGCGGCAGTTCAAGTCGCCACACTCCCTCCATGTAGCACACAAAGTAAGAGAAGAAAGTAGGAGAAATGCCTATTAGAGACAGTAAACAGAGGTGTGAGACAGAGGAATAGTAATAACGAAGAACGATATAGTTTAATTGGAAATCATAAGTCACAAGGAGCGGATGCATCTGCACCAGCCATTGGGAACGATTTTGAGCCATATCACCAATTGTTTCCAGACATTGGTTTTTACCTTCCCGAAGACCCCAACGAAGTAGTCTACACCTTCCTACGTCGCTTAGACTAACTGTTGTGGACTTTATTGGCTGATGCCATGTTTTGGTTTGACCACCGCTAGCTCTTCTCCAGTCTGACCCTATGTCAGCTAACATCGCCCGTCGAGGAAGGCGATGACTAGGCTACGCATGCGTAACACATGTCCTAACCATCTCAGTCGATGTAATTTCACAGTCTCGTCGACTGATTGCCCCTCCTTACCTAGCACTCGACGCCTAACCTCAATATTGCTCACCTTATTATACCACTTCACGCGGGAGATAGAACGCAGACACCTATGTTCGAACACAGCTAATCTTTTCATGTCTTCTGCTCTCAATGGCCATGTCTCACAGCCATAAAGGAGGACGGAGCGGACTGTTGAGCAGTACACACGCCCTTTGGTTGATAGTCGGATGTCACGTCTACCCCAGAGACGGCGTAAACTGGCATATGCGAACCTAGCTAATATATTCTACTTTCGATGACCATATGTCAGAGAAGGAGTCGGGTAGGGTGGATCTATTTAATGAATAGCACCGTATCTATCATAATAGCCATCATTTTGTATCCATGATAATATATGGCTGTCGTTTAAGGAAAGTTTAGGAATGCATCGGCCTTGGTTCGAACCATGGACCACATGTGTGGTTGATGACTACTATAACAGATTTTTTTATTCCTTCACGTTCCTAGTGGAACATAGGGCTTCAAGCTACAGGCTTGAAGTTTCTGTAGGAGTGTTTATTTTTACAGTATGGGGCTGCTAGCCTCATGCCCAACCTTTCTTCTTTGCCAGCTTTATTGCTGGCTTAGCGAGGTAAAGGAGTGCGTCAGTGGCCGTGGATTGAACCCCGGACCATGTGCATGGTCGACGAGCATCCTAACCGCTGTGCCACCGACGCACACTATAACACTGAACCACGGAATATTTCACGAATACACATTATAGATGGGCTAATTATTCATTGGAATAAGACGAAACACCAGAAACATATGTAGGTAATTTTGTACAATCTGAATTCACCGAAACTGGACTAGATATCTCTTTTTTGTCTGTTTTGTTATTTTCGAATGAGTCACGAATATAAAACAAACAGATTAGCTTAGATAATTTATGCATACTTTTTGTTTATGCAGCAGTACGATATTTGCTGACTACACCTCACTTTGTCCGGCGTTCGATCCCCTGCCGACATACAACGAAACCTTGCTAATCGGGTTGTAAGTCGGGCAGAGAGGGAAGTTTAGGCGGGACAGTAGCAACTCCATTGAATAACACCACTCCTACTGAAACTTCAGTGCTCAAGCTTGAAGCCTCCCTATTGTTTCACTTGGCAGGGCGAATGCAATAAAATAGTAAAAATAAAATTTGATTGGTTCATTTATTTTCATAATTCAGTTTTCATTTTCCCGTTTTAATTGGTTGAACCGAAATGTTCAGCAGCTGTTGACGTGTAGTGCAGACGCTTTAACGATATGTGAGGATCAATGTAAACCCCACTGCAGAAAAAGGGGTTATCGTGATCCAAGTGGTCTAGTGGATAAAGTATTGACGTTTGAAACGGTGTGCACTAGGTTCGAGTCTCAGTGGGAACAAAATCACTGACTGGGGGATTTGGGGGGGGCGTCTAGATGACGAGTCCCGAATCGGGCGAAACGTGCACATCCTGGATTCTACCATCCAACGAATTACTCTATTTTTTTTCTTTTTATTCTTGCTCTTTAATAATCCATGCTAATTCAGTAGTATGTATATATATATCTTTTTCAGGTTTATGTAAACTTATTCAAAAATATTCAAAGTGTAAATTTAACCACCCTGCTTATATCCTCTATTTCAATTGTATTCTTAATTATTGTGAAGTATTCTATTGAGCCACTGTTGCAAAAATATGCCCACTGCAATTTCCCAATACCAAGTGAACTGATTGTGGTAAGTTACTATTATTTATTACTGCTGATAAAGTTTTTATTTTACCATCAAAAACTTGATATCTGTCAGCCCTTGAACTTACATTCAGTATCCCGCATTTCATGGTATTTGTTTGCATGTATTTTGTGGTAGTCATTTTCCTCGCCCCCCCCCCCTCCCCAATGAAATTTATATTCTGTTGACTATAAATACATTAGTATGTCACCCAGTTGTCTACTCACACTTTATCTAATGTTCTGAATTACTGTAGATTTTGATATACATTCTCGGCTCTCTGAGCTAAGATCACATGTGTGTGCGTCGGTGACACAGTGGTCAGGACTCTCGCCGATCATGCACACGGTTCGGAGTTCGATCTCCTGCCGACGCACACCTGATATCAATGGTCGGCCTGCAGAATTTGGGCTACCGATATCACATGCTGAAAATTCCAATACTTGTACCAAAATACGGTTTGGAATCAAGCTATAATCAAAATTTTAAAAAATAATAACTAACGGACTATCATTTCATCTTATAAATGTACCCCAACACAGATAGTTTCGGATATATATGTGTCAGGTTAGACCACGGATTGATATACCAGTTAGAGAACCACTGAAAACCAGGGAGTACTGGTACTGGACAGCTGTTTCCTCCTAGTTTGGGATACATCATCAGTATGCACTTACTACCTACCTGGGAAGCATCGTTTCAACTACAGGCGGACGGAACTGATGAGGATATCAAAGCACTGGGATCGAGAAAGCAAGACAAGCTTTCACTACTCTCAAGTCTGTGAGGAGGTCAACAGCACTCAGCATGAAAATGGAAATAAGATCCGGATTTTCAACTCCAATATGAAGTCACTGCTAGTCACTATACGGATCAGAGACTTGGCCAGCGCGTCATAAAGAGCATCTCAAACAAACTACAGACCTTCATTAACAGCTGTCTTCGCTCAATATACAAGATCAGATAGCCGGCCAGAAAACATTAGTTACAGAGATCTCTGGGAGCAAACTAATCAGGAACTAATTGCGCAACAAATAGGTAGGTAAAATGGAGGTATATTGGCCATACTCTGAGGGAAGCATCAAGTGACATCACTAGACAAGCCATTGTTCGAGTGGAACCCGAAAGGGAAGCGGCGAGTTGGTCGTCAGTGCAAGGGTGACTTGGAGGAGGTGATGTGAAGATGAGATGAAAGCATGTTGGCAGACTTGGAGCCAGGTGAAAACGTTGGCAGAGAACCGAACGCAATGGAGACGCACGGCTGAAGTCCTATGTTCCTCTAGGAATTAAAGGAAATAATAGCAATAATATAAAGTAATGCACTCCCTGATTTTTGAACCCAGGACCTTATGGTTACAAGGCAAGCTCGCAAATCATATATACACTGGCACCCGACTCCATAGCCCGTGAATTCTAACTTCTATCAATTCGTGATTTTAGCACGAGTATTTGTCCTCACTCCTCACACTGGTAGACTCCGCTGGTCTTAACTTTTACAGGGATCCAAAGAAACTCTTGAAAATTAATCTGGTTCTCACTAGTGACTGGTCACAAGGCGAAGTTGCCTGGAGGGAGTTCCAGGGAAACGTCGTGACCTGTGGGGTTCATCTAGTCGGGATTGAGGACGGAGTTCTCTCAGATGACATTGGTTGGTGGTCGCGCTAAAATCACTAATTGGTAGAAGTTAGAATTCATGGACTGGCCATTGAATCAGGTCCCAGTGTCTATATGGTTCGCGAGCTTGCCTTGCAACCAGAAGGTCCTGGGTTCAAAACCCAGTGAGTGCATACTGATGATGTATCCCAAACTAGGAGGAAACAGCTGTCCAGTACCAGCACTCCCTGGTTTTCAGTGGTTCTCTAACTGATATCAATCCATGGTCTAGCCTGAAACAAATAAAGTCACTCCCTACAAACCAGTTCTTGAAAGTTTCCGATATAATTTTAATTTGCCTTTACTGTCTATTCGTATTCTTATATTATTCATGGATTTATCACTGTACAACCTAAGGAAGAAGCTATCGAAAACAACTGTTAGCTCAGAATCATCTTGTTTTGATTATTATTATTATTATTATTGTTCATTCTTTGTGTTCCGGTTGGAACATAGGAGGTCTCCAGCAGGATAGCAACATTCCACTCTCCGATCTGCTGTCGATTTCAACTGGCTAACTCCAAAATTACCCTTTCACACGCAAGTTTTTGATTTCTCCTTCACATGATCTCCTTCACATCACCATTCGATGGTCAACTCATTGCTTCGCACTCGAGTTCTACTGCAGGGCCAACCTGGCTAGAGTCTGGTGTCACTCGGATGTCTTAAATAAATGAAATATTTCATGCATATAGGTCCAAACCAAGTTCACCTTCAATAGTTTCACAAAATATTTAGGCACTGGGTATATGGCATTCATGATATCTTAAGTAGACAGTCTAGAATAGGTAACTCGCCGGAGTCTGATTCTGAAGTAAGCCGAATGCTGGGAGATTGACTGTTCAGTTTCTCGAAGAATGAAGTGTGTAGGTTTCGTTTTAGTGCAACTAAAGTATCATCAACTAAGTCATATTTGCCTCCTACCAGATAGCTGAGTTACGCCCAGTCACAGAATACCCACAAAGACAGCAAAACGGTGGTTATCTGCAGTAAAATCTGGGGTTCTATTCAACGGTCATATTATTTCAAGCAACTCAAAATTACTTCAACAATGTCGTTAAGCAGCTATACAGATCAAATTCTCACTCGAGTAGAAAAAGAAACAAGTACTGTACAACAAAATTATTTAACCAAATCAACCGTAGGAAGTACCGGAGAATCAAGAAGAATACACCCAACAATAAGTTGGGATCAAAACTCTGTCAGTAGGAATTACATACAAACAATTCCTACAGACAGTCGAAAGTCAAGGAGACCTAGATACACCCAAACAAAGTCGCACATTAAAACAGCACATTATCAGTGCCATTAGACAACCACAGGTAGAAGCATTGAAATTAGCGATTAAACAGGAACAACGACAAATTATTAGAATCAAGTCAACATATGAAGTGCAAACGTCAGAACAGTGATGGTTGCAGGACTCGAGTCTTGGTGGAAACACCACTAGTTAATTGAGATGCAGGTGTAATCAGCCTACAAATCTCAAACAAAACGGAATACCTATCTTCAGCTTCACTGCGAGTGATCTTTAACCCAAAAAACATCATGGAAAGGTTTTAGTTAGCGACTCCAAAGGTGTATCAATTTCATATCATAATCCAACAAGTAGCTGTTCAATAGTTTAAATATCTTCTTCACTTTCAACACCGTAGTTTAAAACAACTTTCATTTTCTCGATGAAGTAGCGTCGAACAAAACTTCAATACCCACTTCTCCTTTTCCTTAGTTTAGATGTAATTTACGCAGAGTGTATGTGTATATTATGTTAAGCAGTAATAATTCGACACTTGTATATGTACACTTTATTACGATTTCGTGATCTGCATAACTGGTTCAAATTTAAGGTCATATTGATAGCCCGTTACCTTTATTAGTTTGGATAAAGAAAGAACGAACATATTTACAGCACAACACAAACTCGTTTTATTTCTTCGATTCTCTTCAACCAACTACATCCTAGGGGTGCATTAAAAAGAACATTTCCCGCCTCTGAAACACTTATTCCATTCTATCAATACAGTATGCTCGTTAACTCACTCAAAAGTAGATTAGTATCCTGTCCTACCATGTCAAATCCAACTGCATTTACCGATTCACCTGTACTTGTGACAGCAAGCACTTAGGAAGGACTGAGAGGAGAGTGTCTACTAGATCTTCTGAGCATATCCCTAAAAGTCTTTGTATGAAAGGTAGTAGCTAAGTGTTCTGATGTGCAATAATCGGTAGACACTTAATTGATACAGGACATACAGTGGAAGTTAGTCAGGCTTTCAAAATAATCAATAGACAATGAAAACCAAGGTTACTTCTGTTCGCAGAAGCTATTGCTATCAAAAGTCTTCGACCCGATCTCTGTTTACAGAAAGAGAGTGTGACTAATATCTCACAACCCTGGTAACCGTGATTGTGTTGTTCGTGTGTTTTGTTGTGTTGTGTAACTTTTCACTTAATTTTGATTTTGACTTACTGAGTTGAACTCACCATTAAGTTTCCCATGTCTACGCAATTTTACTTTACTACTCACTCTCACACTCGCATTCATAGTGCCTATACCTTCACGTTCCCAGCGGAACATAGGGCTTCAAGTTAGAGGTTTTCAGTTTCTGTAGCAGTGCTTATTTTTACAGGATGGGGTTGCTAGCCTCATGCCAAACCTTTCCCCTTCATCAGCTTTATTACTGGCTTAGCAAGGTAAAGGAGTGCGTCGGCCGGGGATCGAACCCCGGCGAGCGTTCTAACCACTATGCCACCGACGAACTGTCATAATCTTACTTTACTAATTACTCCCACACTCTCATTCATAGTGTGTATAGATTCATCCTGTTGTTCGATCTTGTACTCTGTCTCTAGTCTATACTTGTTTCTAAGCGAAATCTGAACTTCAACCCCCATCCCTCTTATCTAATTATAGTATAAATAGCTGGTCTTTTAACAATGAATAAATCGTCTACTTACATCATTTTCGGAATTATGCTGCTTGTACTTTCCATGTTTAACTTGAATTCACTGTGGAAAAAGTATGTTCAGACACTGTTTTGTAACTTATAATTTGATATTGTTTATGATTTAGGCATTTGAAGAGAATCGACGAAATGAAACAAGCTCGTATTATTCTGTTAAAAATGTGTTCCTTCCTTCTTCGTTCAGAGTACACTTCGTTGCCTAAGTTAACCATTGTGAATATGGAAGAGATTATTTTAACTGATGTCAGGGTACACTGAATGTTATTCACTGGAAATCACCTCCGCTGTTCACAGCTACTTGTTCAGATAACACCTGTGAATCACTATTATTTTTCTCCTCCTTTATTCTTGGTTAGATTGCCTTGGGCACTGTGACTTCTGCCACTATGAACTTACAAGCAAATTACAATGTTTCAATTGTTGGATATATTGCAAGCGGGTAAGTATACGAATTTTTTTTTATAATAGAGAATTGAATTCTGGTTAACTGTTGGTGGTTTGTATTTCTAGAGTCTTTCAGTTTATTGAGTCGCAAGTTCGAATCCCACTTTACCGACATCAACTTGTGCGGGAAGGTGATATTATCGCGTCACTTACCAATTGGTTGCCCATACTCTTGCATCTCCTCCTCGCATGGTCTCCTCTATGTCATTCCTGAGCACACGCTCAATTCGTTATTTCCATTCAAGCGATGGCATGGCGCACGATGTCATTCGACGGTCTCCTCTGTGTGTGTGTGTGTGTCATACATATCCATCTCCATTTTCTTCTACATATTTCTGTTGAGCTATAGGTTCTTGGATCGTTTTCTACCCAGAGTTTCTTGTTGCTAGCCATTTGATCTTGAATGTGGAACCTGCGAAAGCAGCTGTTGATAGAAGTCTGCGTCACTTAACACCTGATATAACCCACTACTAAATCCATGAAAATGTCAGCATTTTTGTTGGTAGGCACTCAACTCCCCTCCTCTTGATTCTATTTAGTATAAACTCTTGCATTACAAATCATTAATAATATGTCATTCAGGAATGCAAATAAACAGTAGGTCTAGCTATATGTTTCAGATGAGGGGAGAAAATGATAGCAGACTGCGGTATGTAAATGAAACCAGATTATTATTATTATTCCCTTAGGTTCCTAGTGGAACATAGGGCTTCAACTACACGTCTCCACTTGCTTCTGTCTTCTGATGTACTTTTCACCTGCAGCCATGTTAGTCCATACTGTTTCAACTCCTCTTCACACGATCTCCTCCATTTCACCCTTGCACTGACGACCAACTTCCCTTTCGGGTTCCACTTGAGCTATGGCCTGACGCGCGATGTCACCCAGCGGCCTCCTCAGCGAGTGAGTGTCCAATCCACCTCCACTTTCTCCTGCATATTTGTTGAGCGATTGGTTCTTGCTTTGTTTGTTCCCATAGTTCCTTGTTGGTGATTCTTTCCGGCCATCTGATCTTCAGTATAGAGCGAAGACAGTTGTTGTTGATAAAGGTCTGCAACAGGCTGTTGGAAATATTCTTTGTGACCCGCCAAGTTTCTGATCCATCCGTATAGAAGAACTGACTGACTTGACGTTTGTATTGAAAATCGGAATCATTTTGTTGTTGATGCAGACTGAGTGACGAAGATTTCCAGATTGGTTTCAGGTTGATGAATGTGTTTCTCGCCTTCCCGATTCTCGATTTGACATCCTCGTCCATTCCTCCTGTAGTTAAGGCAATGCTCCCTAGATAAGTGAATGAAGTAACCTCTTTCAAATCCCTCCCATTGATGGTGATAGGCGCTGGATGTTTCTGCTGCTGTTGTTGTTGTTGTTGGGTGGTTATTTTCATAACCTCCGTCTTGTCTATGTTCACCTGGAGTCCTGTCTTCACTGGCTGCTTCTTCGAACAGTTTATCTGTTTTCGCTTCTAAGTCTTCAATTTCGTGTGACATCAAACATAAATCATCCACGCGCGAAATCTAGGTCTTCTAGGTTCTTCACGTTGGTCCAGGATATCCCTGTCTTCTCGTTTCCCACTGTCTGACGCATAATCTAGTCCACCACAATTAGGAATATCATTTGTGAAAATAAGCACCCTTGTCTGACTCCTGTGTTTACTCCAAACGCTTCGCTGAGTTTTCCGTTGTGGATTACTTGACATGTGCCGTTGTCGTACAGCTGTTGATTAAGTACTCGAGTAGTTTCCAAATTACTTCGCGGTCAACGCTGTCTGTTGAAGGCCTTCTCAAAGTCTATAAAGTTGAGGTAGAGGTTTGATTGCCATTCCATGCTTTGTTCGATGATGATGCGTTGAGTGAAACCACATAGTGTGATTTAACTGCTAATCTAAGCAATTGTGGCGGAGAACAGTAGAACATACTACAGTAAAATACGACACTGAAGATAAGTCGCAGTCCTGAGGTTTTGGCGCCAGAGAGAAATGATATATGATACACTGTTCTCTAAAGACAACCTGATGATTAGTGAGCTATTAATAGATAATAAAAGTTGCCAAGATTATTCAAACACTCGGATTTTCCACCCAACAGCAGCTGTGGCGCCGATAATCTATAGTTGTTATTGGTTAGTATCTTGGTGAAAACACCCAATTTAATCATAAATGTGCTTTCTGAAAAACCAGCCAAAAATTATCCACTACTGCTTTCTTTTTCATTTCATTGCGTTCCACGTGAAACAAAGGAGGCTTCAAGCTCCAGCTCTGAAGTATCAGTAGCCTCGGTGTTGTTCTTTTTTTATGGGATGAGGCCTAACGAGCAGCCTTCCCTCTTCACCAAGCTTACTACCAGCTATGAAAGGTTGAAAAGTAAGTCGGCCGGGGATAAAACTCCAGACCACATGAATGGTTGGCAGTTTTTCACCAAGTAAACCACTGATGCACATCAGATATTGTAGATTATTATTCTTGTCCATTCCCTGGAACATAGGACTTCCGTAGAACATCCTCTCTTCCATTACTTTCAGCTACCTCCACGACTTTCCACAAGCTTGATATTGTCGATACATATTACAGAAATGAGCAGTTTTCAAATGCTGCTGAAGCATGCAGGCATCACACTTTCAGTAGTGCGAAAATTTGAATTACTGTTCACGAAAATACAATGTGCTACTATAAAAAATAATCAGTAGTATGTCACTACGAATATTTAATCGCATGCAATATTGCATAAGTCTATTGGAACATATATTTATAATCATATTTTTTATTTTACTATTATTATATTATGTGTTACTTTCATTCCTCTGTGTGCCAAGTGAAACATACGGTTTCGAACTCTGGAGTTTCATTAGGTGTGGTGTTATTTTCTCGGAATGCAATTGCTAGCCTCGTGTCCAACGATCCCTCTTTTCCCACTATGCTACCAGCTAATAAACTGGGCGAATGCATCGTCCAGGAGTCGAACTCGGGCCTCCCTCTTGGCTGACAAGCATTTTAATGGTGAACCACTGACCCACAATTATTATTGTTATTACTCAATGACGAACTGTAAAATCAAATGTAAAACCCAGGAGTACTGGACAGCTATTTCGTCCTAGTTTGGGACTCTTCATCAGTACACACTCACTGGATGGGTGCTCGTGGGTCATTCAGCCACTGGGACCTGACCCAAATGCCCATGAATTCCATATATATATATATATATATATACATGACATCAATTAGAGAATTAGTAGAAGTTGGAATCAGACCCATTGGGTCAGGTCCCAGTGGGTGATTGCCGATGAAGAGTCCCAAACTAGGACGAAATAGTTGTCTAGTGCTCCCTGGTTTTACAGTGGTCTTGTAACCGATATCAAATCCCTGCAAATCAGCACTTAAAATGTAAAACGCGAGAAGTTTGTCTCGGCACAATCAATAACTTATCGTAAAACTGTCAATGGCGTACAGTAGAGAGGCCTACCGAAATAGCTGTATAAAACGACAAGAACACCAGTTAAGAGACGGTTGTGTAATTGAAACCTCTCGAAAATTTGAATCATGTAACCCAGGAATAAAATTTGCTGATGTGTCTGCTTCAAATAGAAAATACTACGTTAAGATGAATATAACAGAACTCCATTATGGATACTTACTTATATCAATGAATATAAGAGAAACTGGAGTTGAAGTCTAATCGCGTTATAAAATCATACCAGGGAAAAGAATCAGAGAATACCCTTCAGAGTGTTTCTGCAATTCACGAGCTGACATAAGTTAGAGAATCACTGAAAACCAGGGAGTACCGTACACTTGTTCCTGTTGTCCTAGTTTGGAACGCACACACTGCGGTTCGAACATAGGCAGGAACTTCCGGTTGCAAGGCGAGTTCGTTGACCACTGGGGCCCGATCCAGTGGCCAGCCCATGAATTTCAACTTCTGCCATTTCGTGATATATATTTACCTGGGGTTCTAGTGAGAAGTCGTTACAAGCGGTGTACATGAAGTCAAGCAAGAGGACAATTACTCACTTGTGACATTGGTTGGAGGTTGCGCTACATAAGTCGTGGACTGGCAGAAGATGGAATTCATTGGCCATTGGATCGGTTCCCAATGTCTGAATAATAGACGAACTCTCCTTGTAACTGGAAGGGATACTTTTGAAGAATCTCAAGCTGGGACGAAAGAGCTGTCCAATACTCTCTGATTTTCCACTGATTCTCTAACCGATGTTAACTGGTGAGAGAACCTTTAACCAATCAAATCCTTACGAACCAACCAGAAGGCGTAGAATGTAGATTCACTGAGGTTGAAATCCGAATGCGTTATCATTTAACACCATTTGGTTATAAATCACTTATCCATGGTTGCTTATTTCTATCTCACTTATGCCCCATTATGTGAATTCTACCGTGTTCGGGAACTAAAATTTCGCCCTAGTTTAGTGCTCCTCAGTTTTCAAGCTGATATCTATTCGTGACGGAATAACTCTCATAATTAATTCAATTTAAAACGATGCATGCTGTGAGTGCTCATTTAGTGGTAGCTATCAGTAGGATTCAGAACGCGATTTTCATCCTATTCGGAAGTCGTCAGCTAGTTGTACTTAAACCCCCGACTACCAGTCATTTCAAACGCCAATGCGTTATCTATTAGACCAGTAGGCCACGAAGCTTTGAGTACTGGCAACGCCATCACCCGACTCGAGAGCAGTGCACGCGGATGATGAGTACCAAGTGGGGTGAAACCCGTGTTGTGGCCTCTGTAGCTGACCAGCATCTGACAAATAACTTCGACTTCATAATCCTGATAATACCGATGTATCGGACATGAAGATTTATCCTGATATTTTCATCATGATCAAGTATCTTATTTCGACTAAAAGTAACACAATAAGATAAGCCGATTAAGGTGAACCGACTGTAAGAAACTTCCAAAACTAGAAGTTACAGAACATAATTTAGATGAAAGTTTGTATTATTCAAACAACTTGAGTCACCAACCATTCGCCAATCAAATCGCATATAAACCGATTTATTACTAAGCTATTGTGAAAGTTAAATTTAAGCATTTACTAGCGGCAATGTTAGCTGGTGCATGTTTCATGATAATAAGGCGTAAATGTGTTTGCAGACTTTTCATCTTTGACCCTTATCTTTTGGTTTCTAGCTGGCACTGAAGATGATTTTTGGCGGCATCCTTGATTCACTGGGCTACAATGCACCATATCTTCTCTAATTCTTATTGTTTTAACTATTCAAGTTATATTTTGAGATATATCTCACTATACAATATCTTCGCATCAGCGGTGCAATGGTAGAATGCTCGCCAACCACTGTCGTAGTCCGGGTTTGAATCCCAACTGACTTACAAATAAAAGCCTCACCTAGTAAATCCCGGAAAAGAGGAAATCGTTGGGAGTAAGACTAATAACAGCATCCTGTAAGATCATTGTGTTAACTGATAATGAAACTTCTTGGCTTAAAGCTATACGTTCCTCTCAGAATGCTAGGAGTGAAAAGAGTTAATATATGTGAACTCTTGTAAACCAACTGGACACATGAATAATGTTCAGTTTCGAAGACGGGAAGTAACTGAAAACTCTTGTTTGAAACGTTTCGCCACTTGAACTGGGTACATTGCAGATTGTGAATTTGATTTATAATATGACCAGTTCAGCCAGGTAGCTAGCCAAAAATCAACCGGTTTAAACTGATTCGACATTCAGAGTTGAGTCAAACCGGGTACACACACGGCTGATGGGCTTGACCCCAAACAACAAAAACGGCCGTCCGGTTTTTAGATCACTTCGATTTGGCTAGTTAGCAAGCACAATTGGTTGATATCAGTGGTATGCGACTACTCACTTGAACCAATCAGTAGTATGTAGTTTTATACGTTTGATTATAGTTTTTTTTTGTTTCATTCATGGTTGGTAGCGTCTCTATGTGTAGTTTTGAAATTAACCAAACAGCCAATATTCTGTCAGAAAAAATAAACCAAGAATAGTAAGTTAAACACATTTATACGACGTCAAGATAACTGGTGGTATTACAGCGAAGTGTCTTCAAAAATAAATTTCTTTCTGGATGGTGCTTATGCAGCAGAAACACCTCGAATTATGATGAAGGTCTAGAAATGATTACTGTGAAATTAATTCGAATTTCGGATTAATATTGGTTGATTTCAAGTTTTTGATCACGAGCTTATATGTTTGTCGGTTAGAGAACCATTAAAAACTAGTAGGGAGTACCTGACAGATGTTTCGTCCCCGTTTGGACTCTTTAACACTGCGTACCCATGCCCCTACCTGGTGTCCAGTCCATGGGTTTCATTTTCAGCTAGTTCTTGGCTGAAGGTCCTGTGTTCGATGTTCAATGAGTTCATTGTTTCATTATTGGATGAAGAGTCACAAACTGGGACGAAACTGAAATCGATGAGTGATTAAACTTGTAGTCGATCAAATCCCTGCAAACCAACAGCTGAAACTAATGTTGCTTTCTTTGTTATTTCCTTTTCTTACTCAATTGCCTACTCTAATATTACTACTTATAGGATGCCACAAATAACTCTACCGTATTGGTCTGTTGTACCAGATTTAATTGCTGAGGCCATTCTCATCGGATTTGTCAGTACCTTCCTTTCAATATCTCTGGTGAAGTTGTTTGCAATGAAGTATAAGTATAAGATCAATTTCAATCATGTAAGTTGACAAATGAAACAATGGTGAATTTTGAGGTATTGGTATATATGTAAAACGTGGGCACTGTGGTAGTAAGTAATTCCATATTAGTTTGTTTATTATTAGGTGTATCACACAGTCAATGAAACAGTATTAGTATTTACTGGATGACAAAGTTTCGAACACAATTCATTATTGTTCATAATCATATCACCAATTTTAATCACACGACTTCGAAACTTGAGTTTTATAGTTTTCTTTGTCTTCTCCTATTTGTCGTAGGCGTGGTAGTAGAATTTTCCAGATATCTGGAACAGGTGTTGAATCATTCCTAATACATGTGTTTACAGTTGATAAACAAAGCTTCTGTTATCAATCTCTCCCTCCCTCCACCCTGTGACATTAGATTTTAAAAAACTGTCATCCTATCCCATCCATCCTATAGTGTGGTTGTATGTAACTGCATGTAGGGCTAAAGCTGAACTATTCTCTAGATTTCTTATCTTATTTGGGTCAACCAATCTAGGTTTTGCTAGATTTTTATGTTCGGTTAGTCTGACTCCCCCTGTTATACTACTTTGACCTATGTATTTGACCTGAAAATCATTGCAAGGTATTAGATAAACCAAATTGTTTTGTTTGAAAGGCTCCACAGGATTGATCCTTTAACCGAGAAAGCTTGTTTCTAATTGGCTTTGTGGGTTTGGATGCCAATTTTATTCCTGCCTTGTTAAGAATTCTGCATAAGGTTTCCGAGGTTCCTTCCTTGTATGGAATTACCACTGATGATTTAGATTCCTTTTTGTTGGTGCCTAGACATGACTGCCTTACAATTGCCACTAACCGCCTAACATCTTTCACATCTCGAGGGAAGCCGCTGGACTATGCTCGAGTGACTCATATCCATTGTTTTCGTCAATCCTCGACCTTCGTCACTGTGATTGCCATCAAATGTTATCCAGAACTATACCACCGTCTACATTTAATTGGACGCCAAGTAGTAACCAATGTCATGCATCTATTCCTTCGTTTGTTGCGGACTGAATTCCATCAGTCAAGTTTGCAGTGTGGCTCAACCTCATGCAGCATTCTGAATTATTGTCAGATGGTTAGAGACAATCTGTAGCAATAAACCCTACACCTAAGTTTTGTGCTTGTTGGCACTCGTCAGTCAGCATGGAGTACTTGCAATCTTGAAGGAACTTATTCCCCTTCTGAGATAGGAACTTGGGTCATCCAGTACTGCAGTTAAAGATGTTACCAATGGTCTATTCGAGCTCGTGACTGACCTCTTGTAGGAACTGAATAGATACTTTGAATAGACAATAGATAGGAACTAATGTTATGCGTCTAGTCCTTGATGCTGATACAGAGTGAATCCCATCAATCAATATTTCATCGTGGTCACGAGGTTAGGTGACTCATAATTGTAGTGCACTCTGAATTAATGATAGATGGAGGCATTCGACTGGCGAGTACTTCCAACCGATTAACATCAATCCAAAGTGAGTAGATTGTGATGGTGAGCCACCTACCACGATGGCTCCGTTGCGGACCTAACTGCAGCCAACAATGGACCAGATGCACGATACTATCTACTATCTAGTGTCCAATCAAAGTAACCAATACAGTCCTACAGGAGGTCAATCGCTAGACCGAATACCTCAGTGGTAACGTCTTTGAATGCGTCACTGGTTGACGCTGATCGGGATCCCAGAAGGGAAATGAGTTCCTTCAAAGTTGCAGATACGCCTTGCTGATTGACTGGTGAGTGCCAACAAGCTCGAAACCTATGTCGAAGACTTCATACCGATGCTCTCCAACCATATAACATGAAACTAACAGCCGTGCAAGTATGCTCGGCTCGGTGTCCGTGTAAGTGAAACACAAGCTCTTCTCAGTTTCCAAAGGTTTACTCACTAAGGTGCCTATAAGTGAGACCTACTCTCCGAATATTTTTAAACGCGTAACAAGCAAGACTCTCCTCCGCACCTCCGATCATTTCTTTCAGACACAATATTCCTTATGACTACAGGATTGTCACCGGCCTGTATTCAGTGTTAAGCGTACCAAATAGTACATGGCATAGTTTTAAAAACGCTGATCACCCAATTTTGCTATCTGCTTAAAACTGTCTTTCACAATGATAGTTTATGCAGTTCGTTCACAGTATGAAAATAATTTCTACCTAAATGAAAGCTTTTTTTTCTGGCTACCAATAGAATGATGCAAAAAAAAATTCCAGTTTTTCTTGTCCTAAATGCAATCATTCTCACATATGTCTGTACAACTATAGTCTGAATTTTTCTCTCAATTATATTCTGTGCTCCACCAATAGGAATACAGATTTTCAAGAAATAAAATCAATAATCTGCATGACTACATGTCTGTATCTCTACAATATTTGCTATAACCCATCAACTAGGCTTATAGCTTATGCCTATGGCATATATTTCGTATTACTGCTACAACAATAGCGAAATTCTAAATCTTAAGGCAGACACGTTGGTTTAGATTAAGACACAGTGGTTTTCGTCTCATATGAATGGTAGTTACCATTGCTTTTCTATACTGAAAACTAATCAAATGTTGTGGAACTAGGCTTAGTAATTATCACCCAGTAGTAGTCAGGCTATTGCTGATATGGAGCAGTCTGAAACCGCACTTATGAGTATTTCATCTCTCGGTGTGAGAATACCATCATTCGCACGGGGAAGCAATTAGTTCCCTTCATGACTTTCTACAAAACAATAAGTGTTAAGTTCGTTCGAACAGCTTTTTTAGACTATACTGCAGCTTTCGACTCTGTTCCTAGGACACTTTTATTAGGAAAGATGATTTCAGCACAGACAGAGACCTGGGCAACTAGATGGCTGTCTTCTTATTTTAAGGATAGGAAACAGCGTACTGCTTTCGCTGGAAAGCGCTCCACTTCTCAGCTAACTGAAAGTGGTGTGTCTCAAGGTGCAGTACTTTCTCCATTTCTTTTCTCTTTCTTTTTGCATGACCTTCCGAACTCACCCAAAGTTAACTTCATGAAGTATGCTGATGATCTGACCGTTTCTGTCCCTGTAGTTTCCACATCGTATTGTTCCCATATGAATGGCTTCTTAGCTGAAGTTAAAGATTGGTCTGGCTCAAATGGTCTTAAACTAAATCCAACCAAATGTATTACTGTTGATTTCAGCTTGAGAAGTGAAAAAGACATGCATGGATTGATCCAATCTCATGATGGTTGTAATATTGATGGTACCATGATAGAGAGTAAGTCAAGTGTTTCTTATCTTGGCATTAGTTTCTCTTCAAACCTTTGCTGGTCGTCTCATATTCTTATAGTTTCTAAGAAAGCTTTCCGTTTGACTTATTACATAAAGAAGTTGAGGCACTCAGGTATAACCCAACCTCTTCTCATACAATTTATTAATTCATGTGTTTTGCCCATCATTCTTTATTGTTCTCCATTATTCTTCCCTGGGTTACTTAAGAAAGACCATATAATACTACGAAGAACATTGAAGGCTGTAAGTAGGGTCAGTGCTATCCCTTTGCCTCAACTAACCGACACTGTTGTCAATAGGCATATGAATTCTTGTAAACACTTAGCTGAAGTTATCTTGTCTGATAGTGAACATCCTCTTTATTCACAATTGTTTCCTTGTATCTCTTCGGGTAAGACCAGAAGAAATTTCATAAACATTTATGCTCGTACGACAAAATATAAAAATTCGACCGTACCATATTTGGCACGAGTATTGTGTGAAGATACAAAGATCAGAAAAGAACTTTTACAACTTTTAAATCATTAACTAAACTATAAAATGTAATGATGCATATTAATGCATGTGTTATTCGTTATATTATTCATTTATTATTTCACTATGACCTAGAAATGGTGTGATTTTGTTGGGGTTTTTATTTTTTCCTATTAACTATCAATATTTTAACATTTTATACATTTATATAATTGTAAAAAGAGCTAAACCATTGCAATATGTAAAATGAAACGCTGAAAATTCCATGCTGTAAATTGTTATTGTTGTGGAATAAAGTGATTATTATTATTATATTATTAAGAAGACGTAGTTTATCTGAGAGGTGTAATATTGTACTTGCGCAATGCATTTCCGACATTCTGATCACACACATTCACTTATCATCTCCAGCTGTGATGAGTCTCAAACAGGCAGAAATGCGCATCCTACACTCCACTACCAGTCATCACCAATCATACAATGTGTTAACTGTCAGACTACTGTCGGAACGTCCTTGTTAAGCGACATATCGACAGAGAATGAGCCTGCTCAGTCTGGTATCAATCATGACACTAGAGAGAAAAGAACAAGAAGAAGCTCAGCAAAGAATGATATTTACGGCGATTTCATCTTCAAAAGTAGCTGTCCGGTCACATTTATATACATAAGTTTACACGTGCTTACAATTATTACATAATTCCACCCACATAATGAAGGATATTAAAGGTGGTAAAAGTTTCCAACTTGATATGAAAATTTGAAGTATGAATACAGATTACAAGGGGCTTGAGAACAAAATTACTCAGGATCAGAAAACAGTTTTTTTTCTTAACGAGTATATGTGTGAACAGGATGAGCACGTAGACATATTGAAATAAGTTTTGGATTTAATAGTTTTCTCTGAGCTGGTTGGTTTAGTTGTGGAGCTTTCGTCGTCCTTCTGCTGGACAACATCTTTAGCGCAATATTTAGCATAAAGTGAAATGATTTAAATTCCTTCATGAGTGATATAATTGCGTCTCCCGGTAACCATCTTTACATATGTATTGACCATTTTATATTGACTTGGATTTTAAACTTTCTGGTCACCTGATTTACTTTTTATTAGTTGGTATATTTCGTCTATATTAACGTGTTTGTTAATTGCATTTCCGCTTGAGTAAGAGGCTTCTAGGAAATCCCTGGCACTTTTGGTGTTTCCTCTGTCTAAGATCTCGACATTATCCCAATCAAACTGATGTCCATAATTGTCCATATGCATTGATATGA